AGTGGCGCCTCTTCGATCGGGCGGTGCGTGCCAGTGGCGGCCAGCTGGGCACGCTGTGGCGCAAGTGGCCTGCCAGGGCCGCCCACGATCCGATCCGATGCGAGTCGATCCGCTGGGCGGGGACCCTCGGAAGAACTCAGAACCGCGTCCCTCGTCCCTCCTCTCCTCCCCTCCTCCACTCCTCCCTCCCCCTCCGCTGGGCCAGGCGCGACGCCCGCCTGGGAGGACCCGCTGTTCAAGAGCGGGGGCCGATGGGTCGTGAAATTGGAGAAGGTGAAGGCGCCGAGCTGCTCAGTCCTCGCCCTCCTCTTTGTCAGTGCTCCTTTCCTCCCTCTCTTCCCCCTCTTCCTGCTCAGTCTTCCTCCTTCCTCAGTTTTCGTTATCCTGTCCTCTTCCGTGTCGTCCTTCTCCGCCCTCCTCCTTCCTCGTCCTCGCTCGCTCCTCCTCATTCTTCCCTCCTCACTTCTCATCACCTCTCTGTCCAGCTGAAAACAGGTCTTTGGGGAGTCTGGAAGAGTCCGCACCGACCGTGTGAGGAAAGAGTTCGACATCCGTTGCGACACCGAACACATCCAAACAAGGCGACTCACTCACAGCCTATTTTTCAAAGCTCCACTTGAATACGTGTTTGCTGAAGCGAAGCCAGCCTGCGAAAAGACGGGATGGTGTCTGCGGGTGGGATTCAGCAGTTACTGTAAGCTTACTAACTTACGCTTTGCGGATGTCGTGTTGCTTATTGAGGTGTCTATTCGCCAGCTCGAGTTCATGCTGATAGACCTGAAAGCGACAGTAGAAAAGCGTGGAGTGATGCGCCACCTTGGAAACTTAAACAGATCATCGCATGTAACAAACAATACAGGGCGCCATAACGACTCTCATGTGAAGGTTTACGAGATTAACGTCGCGGCAGTATCGGAGGTTGGGGGGTGAGATCGAAGTGGAACGGAGAGCCCCCCTACCAGGAAATCGATTTCGGTTTCGTGTTCGTGCGTGCCGTGCGTGCGGGCGAGGCGAAGCTGCGTGGGCGGGCGAGAGAAAGTCTCCTGTGGCTGAGGCGCGGCCGGACCAAATGATTGCCGTCCGAGCGTCTGGGTGCCCGCGGTGTCCCCCCCGGTGTCCCACTTGGGTCCCATGTGGCTGAGGCGCGGCCGGACCAAATGATTGCCGTCCTGGCGTTTGGGGAACCGCGGTGTCCCGCCGGTGTCCCGCCTGTGTCCCGTCGGTGTCCCGTCGGTGTCCCGTCGGTGTCCCGATGATGAAGATAATGATGATGATGATGATGATGATGATGATGATGATGATGATGATGGTGGTGGTGGTGGTGGTGGTGGTGGTGGTGGTGGTGGTGATGGTGGTGGTGGTGGTGGTGATGATGATGATGATGACGATGATGATGATGATGGTGGTGGTGATGATGATGATGACGATGATGATGATGATGATGATGATGATGCTGATGCTGATTCTGATGCTGATGCTGATGCTGATGCTGATGATACTGATGATGCTGATGCTGATGATTCTGATGATGCTGATGATGCTGCTGATGATGATGTTGATGATGGTGACGATGATGATGCTGCTGCTGATGATCATGATGATGGTGATGATGATGGTGCTGAAGATGGTGCTGAATATGATGGTGATCGTGTGTGAGATCGACGGTGATATCGACAGTGAGATCGATCGAGTGAGATCGAAATGGAAACCGATAGTGAGATCAATAATGATATCGATTGTGAGATCGATGGTGAGATCGACAGTGAGACCGGCCGAGAGACATCGATGATGAGATCGATTTTGAGATCGAGAGTGAGATTGATCGAGTGAGATCGATTGAGTGAGATCGATAGTGAGATCGATAGTGCAACAGGGGGCACGGGCTGCGCCAGCCTTTGCCAGCGCTCCAGTATTCTGTGACAACATGCCGCCGTTGGCTGCCGTTGGGCAGGCTGGGCAGGTTCCCAGGGGGAGGGACGAATGGTACCAAGGCGCCAAAGAACGAAGGGTCATGTAAACAACTCGACACCGACGCTCCCAAGAGCGAGCGGCAACGCAACACTCTCCATAGGCATCGTCACAACAACAATCACAACTGTTGCCCATTGCCGGGACCCTCCCCCCAAACCTCCTTATCACCCGCAGGGTGGTCGTATAGGTACCATAATTGGTGAAGTTATTTGGTTTTCTGGTCTACTGCGCGACGTCGCGGTTGAACACCAGATCAGCATTGCCTGGGACATCTCCATGCGCAGAGAAGCGAGGTGTCGATTGTTTTTCCCAACCCTTCTATGGTTGGGTGCTCGTTTTGAATAGAGCAGTGTGGTCGCCCCGTCCTCCTCCTCCCCCCTCCTCCCCTCCTCCTCTCCTGTCTCCTGTGTTCCCCCATCCTCTTCTCTCATGCCGTCGGGCAACGATCTGCGCAACTGTCGCCACTTTCGTGGGCTCCTGGGAGGCCCAGCGGAGGTGGGTCCCACGCGGATCACCTCGAGACCTCGCGGTGCCCTGGGGGCTGCGATCTGCGCAACTGTCGCCACATTCGTGGGCTCCTGGGGGGCCCAGCGGAGGTGAGTCCCACGCGGATCACCTCGAGATCTCGCGGTGCCCTGGGGGCTGCGATCTGCGCAACTGTCGCCACTTTCGTGGGCTCCTGGGAGGCCCAGCGGAGGTGGGTCCCACGCGGACCCCCTCGAGACCTCGCGGTGCCCTGGGGGCTGCGATCTGCGCAACTGTCGCCACTTTCGTGGGCTCCTGGGAGGCCCAGCGGAGGTGGGTCCCACGCGGATCACCTCGAGACCTCGCGGTGCCTTGGGGGCTGCGATCTGCGCAATTGTCGCCACTTTCGTGGGCTCCTGGGAGGCCCAGCGGAGGTACGTCCCACGCGGATCACCTCGAGACCTCGCGGTGCCCTGGGGGCTGCGATCTGCGCAACTGTCGCCACTTTCGTGGGCTCCTGGGAGGCCCAGCGGAGGTGGGTCCCACGCGGATCACCTCGAGACCTCGCGTGCCCTGGGGGCTGCGATCTGCGCAACTGTCGCCACTTTCGTGGGCTCCTGGGAGGCCCAGCGGAGGTGGGTCCCACGCGGATCACCTCGAGACCTCGCGGTGCCCTGGGGGCTGCGATGTGCGCAACTGTCGCCACTTTCGTGGGCTCCTGGGAGGCCCGTCCCACGCGGATCACCTCGAGACCTCGCGGTGCCCTGGGGGCTGCGATTTGCGCAACTATCGCCTTTTTCGTGGGTTCCTGGGAGGCCCAGCGGAGGTGGGTCCCACGCGGATCACCTCGAAACCTCGCGGTGCCCTGGGGGCTGCGATCTGCGCAACTGTCGCCACATTCGTGGGCTCCTGGGAGGCCCAGCGGAGGTGGGTCCCTCGCGGATCACCTCGAGATCTCGCTGTGCCCTGGGGGCTGCGATTTGCGCAACTGTCGCCGCTTTCGTGGGCTCCTGGGAGGCCCAGCGGAGGTGGGTCCCATGCGGATCACCTCGAGACCTCGCTGTGCCCTGCGGGCTGCGATCTGCGCATTTTTTCACATAGTGCCTCGTGGGTATTGGCTCCGGAACTGACAGAAACATTCGCCGTGTGCTGTGGGAAATGCTGAACATCATATTTGATAGCCGCCTTCGGCAACCGATCGAGGAGGGTTTCTCGCGAAACAAATCGTCAACAGCGTCAGACTCAAGCCCGCCATCTGACGATCATCACGATCTAGCGCCCTGGGCGGAGGAAGGACGTAGTCAGTCACGCGTTCGCTAGTGGGTTAAAGGACATCAGGTCGCCGCATCCAAATGGCTCCAGCAACTCCGAGAGGAGAAACACTCCTGGACAAACCGTGCATCTCCACGGGAGCCCCCCTGGAAAGACAAGGCGTGCAAACCGACCTGGGCCGAGGCGGGTTGATATTACACGTCCACGTGTGTCAAGTTTGACTGAGCTGCGAGAAGACGCGTGAGAAAAGGCTTGCGCGGTGGGCTGGAGCCGAGGCACTGCCGCGCGCCCCGCCTCAGGACGACCTTCGGGCCGATGTGCGTGCCAGCGTGCCGGCCAACTCCTCAGGCCTCCCTGCTTGTCCTCCTCCTCAGGCCTCCGTCCTTGTCCTTTCTCTGCTCCATTCCTCCTCCCCCCCTCCTCCCTGGCCCTGTCCTCCTCCTCCTCCTCCTCCTCCTCCTCGTCCTCCTCCTCCTCCTCCTCCTCCTCCTCCTCCTCCTCCTCCTCCTCCTCCTCCTCCTCCTCCTCCCCCTCTTCCTCCTCCCACTCAGTCCTCCAGCGTCCGTGCTGCCCCACCTCTTCCTCCCTCCTCCGCTCCGCGCCGCCGCAGCGGTGCCTCGCACTGTCTGCTGGTGGCATCGCCTCCCGCCCCGCAGGGGGCCGACGGCGGACAGTGCGAGGCGCCGCCTCGTCCCCTTCCCTCAAGTCGCCGCGTCCTCCTCCATCCTCCACTGTTCCTTCCTTCCCCTCGCCCCCTTCCCCGTTAGCCCCCAGCCCTCAGCCCTTGGTACTCCTCCTCTTCCTCCTCCCGCACCTCTTGCTCAGTCCTCCGCCTTCCTCCTTCCTCCCTCCTCCTTCCTCCTTGCACCCTCCTCCCTCCTTCTTCAGTCTTGCCTCCTCCTCCTCCTCTTCCTCCTCCTCCTTCCTCCCTGCTCCCTCCTCCTTCCGCTCCGCGCCGCAGCGGAAGCGCCTCGCTCTGTTCACTAGCGGCTTCGCCTCCCGCCAGCGGGGGCCCGCGGCCTACGACGATGGCAGGTGAAGACGAGGAGTCATGTTGATAAGCGTACCAATGGTACGAATCACTTCAATAAGACAAAGAGTAGTATTAGCACTAACGCTGTGGAAGAAAAGTATTACGCACACCAGCGACACTAATCGTTTTCATACTCGCAGTTTAATGCGGACAACAAGCGTGTGCATAAACACAAACTTCTCGGAGATCAGCGCGGGCTTCCTGGATCGGCGCTGGGCACCCTTGGCGGCGCCAGCCCTTGGCGCGCGGCGCGTCAGGGAGTGGGGCCCAGCGCCGATCCAAGAAATACGCGTGGCCCTCCGAACGGCTATGTTCATGCTGCTCTTGTTTATCTGTTAGCCTGCGCGGACCCCAAACCGTGACCTCTTGCAGCCACTGTGGTGCAATTTAGGTGGTGCAATTGACCACGCTGCACTGCGCGTGACCACCTCCCATGTTCGTGCAAGCATCCCACCCTCCCACCCGCATTTTGGTCGGCAAAACTCATACGGTCGCGACTGCAGTCGCAGCGTGGAGCTCGTCACGCGGACCCTCGTGGCGCCGGCATCCATCTTGCGGGAGACAGCGCGGACGGCAGCGTCGACAAACGACCGCTGAAGTGGTTGGCAGAAGCCATGAGGTCGCGAGTACATTTACAGCGTTGAGTTCCTCCGATAATTTCATCGTCTTCATTGGCGCGCGGACGCTCGTCGCGCGGGCAAAGTCCATCTTGCGCGAGACAGCGCCGACGACGACGTAGTCGAACGACGATGAGAATGACCACGGCGCTTCCGACGGCAATGATGACGATGACGGTGCCCGCATGGTATTATTTGTCAAGGATCATGCCTCTGGCAAGCGCGCGAGGGCAGTGGAATAAGTTCGACATGCGCGCGCGAAGGCCTCCTTGGACAAGAAAGTTGGAAAAGCGTGGGGTTTCCCAGGAATCTGCAAGAGCGCGCGGGATGACATGTTGAACTTTTCTATTGAACAAACCGTTGGGTTTTTGATGTTTGTTTAGAAGAAATCGCAACTACGCAGCGTTTTGAGAAGCAATCGTCTTGCGCGCGCGCGTGTGGCCCGCGCGGTATTATTTTCTTAGGGATTCGTTCACCCAGCTCATTTTAGATGCATGCATGTGCGCCGCATATTATGATTCGACATGGATGGGGGGGACCCGATGCCGGGAACAGCTGAGACGGTACGATTTCACACGGAAAATGAACAAGGAGGCGTACGCATATGTAAATTACATGACCCCAAAGGGGGAATGGTAGTCCCAGGGTGGTAGTGGGGCCGACCTTGTGTTATTCAGCATTTTATGAGAGATGCGGACGTTGACTATGTATACACCTATATAACATATGTACGTGTGTGTATGTATGCATGTGTGCATGCATATATGTATGTATATGTGGGTATATGTATGTATATATGTATGTACGTATGTAGGTACGCATGCATGTACGTATGTCTGTCTGTTTGGTTGTGTGGGTCTGTCTGTCTGTATGTGTGTATAGTGCATGTATACTTATATACGGTGCGACGTAAGGCGGTACATAGCAACGCGTAACAATGCAATGCAAGGCAAATCGATGCGAAGAAATACATACCAACGCAATGCAGTGCAAAGTGCAACGCAATGGAATGCGACGCAATGCAATACATTAATGCAATGCAACGCAATGCAATGCAATGCGAACGATTGCGCATCAATGCGCAACAGTGCGTAACAATGCGTATCAATGCAAACCAGTGCAAAGCACGGCGAATCAGTATAAACCGATGCAACACATGGAAAACAATACAAAACATTGCGTAGCAATGTTGAGCATACCATAGAATTTCAAAACACTGCGACATGATGCACGCAATGCGATACAATACAATGCATTGCGAAGCAGTTCAAAGCAATGCCAATCATTGAGCTGCAATGACATGCAATGCGATGCGATGCGATTGCAATGTGACACAATGCGATTGCAAAGCAATGTGATGATATGCGAATGCATTGCAAACAATGGGGAAGCGGCGACGGACGGGAACGGGATCGCTGGGCGAGCCTGCAGTTGGGATCAGTTGTGCGGCGACGGACGGGAACGGGGCCGCTGGGCCTTCTCCTCCTCCTCCTCCTCGTCTTCCTCCTTTTCCTTCTCATTATTTTCCTTCTTCTCCTCCTCCTCCTCCTCCTCCTCCTCCTCCTCCCCCTCTTCCTAAGAGCCCCTGCGTGCAAGCACTGCTTGGAATACCTCCTCGTCGCCCTCCTCGGCGGCGATCCTGGCCAGGCCCGTTCTGGCCCCACCATCGGGGAAGCGCGCCTTCCTGGTCAGGCCTTGGGGGCGTATACGGTATTCTGAGTGGGACAACAATCGCCCCCCCCTCTGAATCCGCTGGGGGGGTTGGGCACGTGCTGTCGGCACGGGTGGGGGGGGTGTTGGAGGAAGAGGAGGATGGTGAGGAGGGGGAGGAGGATGGAGGGGGCGGGATTGGGCAAGCTCAGTTGGAAGGTTTATCATCCCCCCTTGATAAATACCCCATCCAGAGTAGGTTCGCGTCGTGTCGTCTGGCGGCGACCCTGCCGCGGGCGTTTAAAGTCGAACGCCGCCGGCGACCCAGAATCGGTCGATGCTGAACGATCTGACGTTTCGGAAGCGGCCGATCGTTCAAGGTTGATCGGCCACGCGCAGAGGGGGGAAAGGGGGAGGGGGGGAGGCTTCTCAGAAGGAGGCTGCTTCTTAGAAGGCGTGGGCCTTGTCTGTGGACGTAGAGCACTCGCCTCC